CTGGTGACTAGCTCCACTATGTCTGGTGACTAGCTCCACTATGTCTGGTGACTTACTCCACTATGTCTGGTGACTAGCTCCACTATGTCTGGTGACTAGCTCCACTATGTCTGGTGACTTGCTCCACTATGTCTGGTGACTAGCTCCACTATGTGTGGTGACTAGCTCCACTATGTCTGGTGACTAGCTCCACTATGTCTGGTGACTTGCTCCACTATGTCTGGTGACTAGCTCCACTATGTCTGGTGACTTGCTCCACTATGTCTGGTGACTAGCTCCACTATGTGTGGTGACTAGCTCCACTATGTCTGGTGACTAGCTCCACTATGTCTGGTGACTTGCTCCACTATGTCTGGTGACTAGCTCCACTATGTGTGGTGACTAGCTGCACTATGTCTGGTGACTAGCTCCACTATGTCTGGTGACTTACTCCACTATGTCTGGTGACTTACTCCACTATGTCTAGTGACTAGCTCCACTATGTCTGGTGACTAGCTCCACTATGTCTGGTGACTTACTCCACTATGTCTGGTGACTTACTCCACTATGTCTGGTGACTAGCTCCACTATGTCTGGTGACTAGCTCCACTATGTCTGGTGACTTACTCCACTATGTCTGGTGACTTACTCCACTATGTCTAGTGACTAGCTCCACTATGTCTGGTGACTAGCTGCACTATGTCTGGTGACTAGCTCCACTATGTCTGGTGACTAGCTCCACTATGTGTGGTGACTAGCTGCACTATGTCTGGTGACTAGCTCCACTATGTGTGGTGACTAGCTCCACTATGTGTGGTGACTAGCTCCACTATGTGTGGTGACTAGCTCCACTATGTCTGGTGACTAGCTCCACTATGTCTAGTGACTAGCTCCACTATGTCTGGTGACTAGCTCCACTATGTCGAGTGACTAGCTCCACTATGTCTAGTGACTAGCTCCACTATGTCTAGTGACTAGCTCCACTATGTCTAGTGACTAGCTCCACTATGTCTAGTGACTAGCTCCACTATGTCTAGTGACTAGCTCCACTATGTCTAGTGACTAGCTCCACTATGTCTGGTGACTAGCTCCACTATGACTGGTGACTAGCTCCACTATGTCTAGTGACTAGCTCCACTATGTCTAGTGACTAGCTCCACTATGTCTAGTGACTAGCTCCACTATGTCTAGTGACTAGCTCCACTATGTATGGTGACTAGCTCCACTATGTCTGGTGACTAGCTCCACTATGTCTAGTGACTAGCTCCACTATGTCTAGTGACTAGCTCCACTATGTCTAGTGACTAGCTCCACTATGTCTGGTGACTTACTCCACTATGACTGGTGACTAGCTCCACTATGTCTAGTGACTAGCTCCACTATGTCTAGTGACTAGCTCCACTATGTCTGGTGACTAGCTCCACTATGTCTAGTGACTAGCTCCACTATGTCTGGTGACTAGCTCCACTATGTCTGGTGACTAGCTCCACTATGTCTAGTGACTAGCTCCACTATGTCTGGTGACTAGCTCCACTATGTCTGGTGACTAGCTTCACTATGTCTGGTGACTAGCTGCACTATGTCTGGTGACTAGCTCCACTATGTCTGGTGACTAGCTCCACTATGTCTGGTGACTTACTCCACTATGTCTGGTGACTAGCTCCACTATGTCTAGTGACTAGCTCCACTATGTCTAGTGACTAGCTCCACTATGTGTGGTCACGGCTGTTCACTTTCTGCTAGTGATACTGTCAAAGTCCGTTGTGTATCCCTTTCAGGACATTGCAGAAGCAACCTCGGCATTTTTTTTTTTTGGCCTCTTGTGGTATTTTTATTCAAATTTACTAGTTTGCCATTGCTTTCTTGACGGTCGGCTTCCCGATACTACGAACGCAAGGCGCAATGCCAGCAGCTGTGATTGAACCCGCCACCCCGGCATTACGAAGCGCGTTCGCAATGTCTAAGCCACAGACACCGACAGTAATGATGTGCCGTCACCATATTTAAAGTTATTATTCGTAAAATCTCTTTTCAAAAACCAGTTTGGCTCCCAGGTCGACCCACCCCTGAATGGCTCCCAGGTCGACCCACCCCTGAATGGGTCCCAGGTCAACCCACCCCTGAATGGGTCCCAGGTCGACCCACCCCTGAATGGGTCCCAGGTCGACCCACCTCTGAATGGGTCCCAGGTCGACCCACCCCTGAATGGGTTCCAGGCCGACCCACCCCTGAATGACTCCCAGGTCGAGCCCTAGGAAGTAAAGGCGGCCGGTGCGATGTTGACGACATCACCCACAGAATGCCGGTCGGTCTATAAAATATAGGTCTAGCCCTATATGCCTAGTACAGCTAAAGGCAGGAACAGGGTTCTTTAATTACAAATTATTCGTCAACAGAAATTCATTCCCCACATTTCTCCAACTTGTTCGAAAATATTTTCTGTAGATAAGTTGAACAGGTCTGGGGATAACACGTATCACTGATATTCTTGTCTGTTTCTCTCTATCTGTGGTAAGACGTATCACTGATATACTTGTCTATTTCTCTCTATCTGTGGTAAGACGTATCGCTGATATACTTGTCTATTTCTCTCTATCTGTGGTAAGACGTATCGCTGATATACTTGTCTATTTCTCTCTATCTGTGGTAAGACGTATCGCTGATATACTTGTCTGTTTCTCTCTATCTGCGGTAAGACGTATCGCTGATATACTTGTCTGTTTCTCTCTATCTGTGGTAAGACGTATCGCTGATATACTTGTCTATTTCTCTCTATCTGTGGTAAGACGTATCACTGATATACTTGTCTATTTCTCTCTATCTGTGGTAAGACGTATCACTGATATACTTGTCTGTTTCTCTCTATCTGTGGTAAGACGTATCGCTGATATACTTGTCTGTTTCTCTCTCTGTGGTAAGACGTATCGCTGATATACTTGTCTGTTTCTCTCTATCTGCGGTAAGACGTATCGCTGATATACTTGTCTGTTTCTCTCTATCTGTGGTAAGACGTATCGCTGATATACTTGTCTGTTTCTCTCTCTGTGGTAAGACGTATCACTGATATACTTGTCTATTTCTCTCTATCTGTGGTAAGACGTATCACTGATATACTTGTCTGTTTCTCTCTATCTGTGGTAAGACGTATCGCTGATATACTTGTCTGTTTCTCTCTCTGTGGTAAGACGTATCGCTGATATACTTGTCTATTTCTCTCTATCTGCGGTAAGACGGTGTTGTTATGTCTAAATGTTGCTATATGTTTCCAGTATATGTTTGCAATGATTATGATATCCTTTTCATGTGAATCCTACATTTTGGAGGCAAGCAGGGAACTTTTCACCCAGCACCATGCAATCGGTGAAATATGCATAAATACTTGTCTATGAATAGAAAACTCTGTCAAAACTAAAGAAAACTCTAAACTTAGAAGCATGTATCAGGGAAGGCTCACCATCGTTGGCAGGGAACTTGAAAGAAACAAAATAGATATTAGAGGACTTTCTGAACATAGATGGGCGGGTCAAGGCCACTTTGCGACCCAAGCAGGACAGACATTTGTGTAGTGAGGTCAGGAAAAGAGCGGTTTGACCTGGCTGCGATTTCTGATGACAACAAACGTTTCTTCATCGCGTCTTGGATACAATCTGATCAGCGAGCGAATTCTGACTGTCAAACTTTAATCAAGGAAAAGCAACATCACAATTATTCAAGTCGTTTCGGCAACATCTACATCAGAGGAGTTGAATTTAGCAGTGTTGAAACAATTTAGAAGAAACGTTAGGGTTAAAAAAAAAAGTAGTCTGGGAAGGATTTTAACTCGAACGGGTGGGGTAAAACAGAGGAAGAGGAAATAGTAAGAGCCGATATCGACATGGGAGATAAAAACGAGAGTGGGAAGAGGCTGATAAAATTCTGTATATAAAAGAATATGTGTATTACCAACACACTATTGAAACAACAGCCAGCACGGCTCTCTAGTGTAGTTGGCTAAACCTGATTTCGCGGTGACCGGGTGACGAACTCCTTGTGATCCGGGTCACTCCCGGAGGTAAGCAGAAAAGCTAAATTTTGTACTACTTGTGTTTGTCTGAGAGCAGATATAACCATGTACTACTTGTGTTTGTCTGAGAGCAGATATAACCATGTACAACTTGTGTTTGTCTGAGAGCAGATATAACCATGTACTACTTGTGTCTGTCTGAGAGCAGATATAACCTTGTACTACTTGTGTCTGTCTGAGAGCAGATATAACCATGTACTACTTGTGTCTGTCTGAGAGCAGATATAACCTTGTACTACTTGTGTCTGTCTGAGAGCAGATATAACCATGTACTACTTGTGTCTGTCTGAGAGCAGATATTACCATGTACTACTTGTGCTGTCTGAGAGCAGATATAACCTTGTACTACTTGTGTCTGTCTGAGAGCAGATATAACCTTGTACTTCTTGTGTCTGTCTGAGAGCAGATATAACCATGTACTACTTGTGTATGTCTGAGAGCAGATATAACCATGTACTACTTGTGTTTGTCTGAGAGCAGATATAACCATGTACTACTTGTGTTTGTCTGAGAGCAGATATAACCATGTACTACTTGTGTATGTCTGAGAGCAGATATAACCATGTACTACTTGTGTCTGTCTGAGAGCAGCTATATGTACTACTTGTGTTAGTCTGAGAGCAGATATCAGCAACTAATTATCATCGCTTTTGTTACATTTGTCGTCGTCGTTATGCACCTCTCCATCATCATCATCATCATAATGGTGAAGAAGTCACCGGTGAGGAGTAAAACTGTCGATTAGTGACGAGACCATGGCGAGGAGTAAAGCTGTCGATTAGTGACGAGACCACGGCGAGGACAACAACTACAACAGCGACCACAATGTCTGTGATTAGAAGTGTTGATGATGTGATGATGGTGATGGTGGTGGTGGTGGTGGTGGTGATTTGCAGTGGTAGTAGTGGTGGGGTGATAACGATGATGCAGAGCAGCAGAAGACTTGTAGTAAACTTACTTTGGTATCGAGTGTTGATAAAACTAGGAAACCGACCAGCCAGCAACGGGTGAGGCTGTGGGTTCAAGTCCCTGGGCAGATTGTAGAGAAGTGGGTTCATCTGGAGATGGCTGAAGTGTGGAGGAATCCCAATGCCCAGGGCAGCTGGCGGGGCACCGACCCCAGGCAGGCTGCCCATGGAGGCTAGAGTTCGGTTACAGACTCTTAGAGGCTGGTAGAGTGAGCTGGAGTCGAAGTGTCCGGAGTTCAAGCTGCTGAGGATATGCTTGAACTCCTGGCCCGCCCACAAGCCCAGTCTGTTTTCTGACTGAGGCGTCAACGAGTTCTCGGTCCGTGGGCTGGCTGGGCTGGAGGAGCGGGGCGAGACTCTCTGGTGGTGGGCTGCTGAGTGTCGGACGTTTCGGCTATCCCTGAATTGGTGGGCCTCCCTGTCCTTGGAGACCTCTCTGTCTGTCATGTCTCTGAGTTCTCGATCTGTCATGTCTCTGAGTTCTTTGTCTCTCAGTCTTAGACTCTCCAAAATCATCTCTCTTTCTCTGAATAAATCTGCTTCTCTCGCTATATCCCTACATTGTCTGTCTCTCTCTATCTCACTGCATTGTCTGTCTCTCTCTATATCCCTACATTGTCTGTCTCTCTCTATATCCCTACATTGTCTGTCTCTCTCTATCTCACTGCATTGTCTGTCTCTGTGATCACAGACTTCTCTCTCTTTGACAGCCTCTCGCACTCGGTCTCGTTGTCTGTCTATCTCCCCATATATTCTGTCTGTATCCTTCTCGTTGTGTCGATCTTGTTTAAATGTCTCTCTGATGGCGAACTGTCTGATAGAAAACGTTCTTGGTGGCGGCGCTGTTGTGGGTGAAGGCGGCGCCACTTCTGATGTTCCGATAAGAGACTCAATGGAGAAGCCGTGCCGTTTGGGTGGCATGGAAGTCGCTGAAGCCGACATGACTGCAACTGCTGCAGTCATCCTCGCTGTCTCCCGGCCCACACTGATGGAGTGTGCACACGCCTCGGTCAAACAAACCACAGGTTCATGTAGATTTGAACTGCAGCCTTAAGGAACACCAGGCTGCCCAACTGTCAGCCACTGAAACAGAAAGAAAACAAGAGTCAGTCACTGGACGTTCTCTGTTCATGAATTGTCGTGGCAAACGTTGGCAAGGGTTCACAGAGCGAGACGTTGGCAAGGGTTCACAGAGCCAGACATTGGCCAGGGTTCACAGAGCCAGACATTGGCAAGGGTTCACAGAGCCAGACGTTGGCAAGGGTTCACAGAGCCAGACATTGGCAAGAGTTCACAGAGCCAGACATTGGCAAGGGTTCACAGAGCCAGACATTGGCAAGGGTTCACAGAGCCAGACATTGGCAAGGGTTCACAGAGCCAGACACCCCCCCCCCCCCCACCCATAGTTTTGTACACGTGTAACGACGCTACGTGTAATGACATGTCATGTAACGACGCTACGTGTAATGACATGTCATACAACGACGCTACATGTCATTTAACGATGGTCATGAAATGCAATCTACAATGCAGTCTGGAAATAAAATATATATCCTACAACATCTGCTAATATCAAAGTCTGACTGGACACACCAAGATCACGACACATAAATCATTGAACAGACCAGTTGTCTGACCAGGCTCTGAAACCTGGAGCACAATTATTGACCAACAAGTTGAAGTTTTATTGCAGTTGGACCCTTCAAAGATGGCATAAACGACGAATCTTTGAACCCTTCAAAGATGGCAAAAACAACTAATCTTTGATATGGCAACATGCCCTGTCTGTCAGTTCGGATATGACAACATGCCCTGTCTGTCAGTTTGGATGTCGCAGCATGCCCTGTCTGTCAGTTTGGATATGACAACATGACCTGTCTGTCAGTTTGGATATGACAACATGACCTGTCTGTCAGCTTGGATATGACAACATGCCCTGTCTGTCAGTTTGGATGTCGCAGCATGCCCTGTCTGTCAGTTTGGATATGACAACATGACCTGTCTGTCAGTTTGGATATAGCAACATGACCTCTCTGTCAGTGTGGATATGACAACATGACCTGTCTGTCAGTTTGGATGTCGCAACATGCCCTGTCTGTCGGGATGTTGCAGCAGTGAGGATAATGGCACAATAATTTACTGTTAATAGACAGACCATTCGTAAATTTTAGTGGAAGATTTGGGCAAAACAGAAGTTGCTTGCCGGTTTGTAGCACATTCCTAGACTGATGACCAAAAACATCAGCGGGTAGAGTTCGAACAGACATCATCAAAACATGCCACGGGAGTAAATATTTCCAAATTGGATTGTTGCAGAGCATTAAACATGGATTTTCCGCTACGACCCCACAACTAAACGTAAAAGCACTCAGTGGAAGTCATCATGCATCACCAAAAGGCAAGAAATCCTGCCTTGAAAAGTCGAAAGTGAAGACACTGTTGGTGTGCTTCTACGACAGCTAAGGTTCATGTGCTTCTACGACAGCTAAGGTTCATGTGCTTCTACGACAGCTAAGTTTCATGTGCTTCTACGACAGCTAAGTTTCACGTGCTTCTACGACAGCTAAGGTTCATGTGCTTCTACGACAGCTAAGTTTCACGTGCTTCTACGACAGCTAAGGTTCACGTGCTTCTACGACAGCTAAGGTTCACGTGCTTCTACGACAGCTAAGTTTCACGTGCTTCTACGACAGCTAAGGTTCACGTGCTTCTACGACAGCTAAAGTTCATGTGCTTATAAGACAGCTAAGGTTCACGTGCTTCTACGACAGCTAAGGTTCACGTGCTTCTACGACAGCTAAGGTTCACGTGCTTCTACGACAGCTAAGGTTCACGTGCTTCTACGACAGCTAAGTTTCACGTGCTTCTACGACAGCTAAGGTTCACGTGCTTCTACGACAGCTAAAGTTCATGTGCTTCTACGACAGCTAAGGTTCACGTGCTTCTACGACAGCTAAGGTTCACGTGCTTCTACGACAGCTAAGGTTCACGTGCTTCTACGACAGCTAAGTTTCACGTGCTTCTACGACAGCTAAGGTTCACGTGCTTCTACGACAGCTAAGGTTCACGTGCTTCTACGACAGCTAAGGTTCATGTGCTTCTACGACAGCTAAGGTTCACGTGCTTCTACGACAGCTCAGGAGTTTATTCAAAGAATATATTCCGGAGGGACAGAATGTCACAGCCACAGTTTATTTAAGTATTTTAAAATCTTTTAAACAGGATTCTCCAAGTCCGGCCCGAGTATTCAACATCTGGCGGTTTTGTCCTTCTCCGTGACAACGCACCGGCTCACCGGCAGTTAGCTGTACAGGAATTTGGCCCTAAAACAAGTGTTTGTTCTCAACCATCCACCCTATTCCCCCAGATTTGTCTCCCTGTGATTATTTTCTATTCTTACAATTAAAGTTGCCATTGAAAGGACGCTTTTTTGACGATTTTGATGATATTCAAAGGGGCGTAACATCGACTTTAAAGGCCATAACAACAGAAGAACTACAGAGGTCGTTCCAGTGTTTGTTAGATCGTGCCACTTGCTGTATCAATGCACAAGAGGCTGTATTTAAATAAAATCCAGGTTTTATCTTCAAATGTTGAATATTGTAATTTGTTTAATGGAATTAGTCTCATTACTGAATTGTCGGACCTTGTAGATAAACTTGTGTGGACACGCAGAGTCTCTGGCGACTTCCTGTGTCACAGACATGGCAGAAGACGAGATAGATGCTATTAGTCGCCTCTTATATCATCGACTTTCGTCCTTTTTAGGACGAAAATTTTTGTTATTTGAAGCCCCACCCTGGCTTTTGCCAGGGGCCGCAATATAGGCAGGCCATAAATATAGCCAATTGTCTGAGCGCGGTTTCTGGGACCTCTCCACGGCGATCCTCATCCACATGGTGGCACTTTGTGTCATCGGGTGTTTATCGCTTGTGTGATGCCCTAGTGGGGTAAAATAACGGACAGTCAGTCAGAGGGACGAGGAAACCGATGTACAATGCTAACATTGAATACAACCGCAGAGCCCTGACAACACTAAGTTGTGTGAATGTACAACCGCAGAGCCCTGGCATCATGAAGTTGTGTGAATGTACAACCGCAGAGCCCTGACAACACTAAGTTGTGTGAATGTACAACCGCAGAGCCCTGACAACACTAAGTTGTGTGAATGTACAACCGCAGAGCCCTGACAACACTAAGTTGTGTGAATGTACAACCGCAGAGCCCTGACAACACTAAGTTGTGTGAATGTACAACCGCAGAGCCCTGACAACACTAAGTTGTGTGAATGTACAACCGCAGAGCGGTGACTGCGGTGACGTGTGATACTTCACATCCAACAAATTAACCAAACCGTTACAACGATGAGTTGCAACAATTAAAGAAAATATCAAGAAATGAAAGCACACAAACAAAAGCAGCAAATCTCACAGGCGGCTACAACTCCCTGAAGTAAAAGCACAACTTCTGGATGTAGAACAACACATTACAGACGGTTCCTGTCAGAATGAAACATCTACTGGGGTCGGCCCAGGGACAGTCTCTCTCACGGGCGCTAGCGGGCTCAGATCGGGGAAGATATCCACGCTTGTCAACGTCAGGCTCACAACTACAACACTGACTGCAGACCCGACTGTCTGCTCGCAGGTCGCTCAGGCCCCGATCTACCGCCCTCTGACTGACAGACAGGCTGGGTAATGTGGAAACCGCCAGTCACCAGCCTCCGCCCACCACAGCTAAAAAGACCTACGGTGATCGTGTCACATCACTCAGCTGCCAACCGCTGTCTATCATCGGGGGGCACGCCTATCTGTCTGTGACCACGCCAGTAGGCGGGACGTGTTGCTACTGAGACATGTGATTGGTGGAGTTCTATGTGTGCTGGAACTTGTTGGCCGGATTCTGGGAGGTTGGCGCTGAAATGTTCCCCGCAGAAACAGCAGTCGCATTAGGGACAAACCTTCGGAAACGATTTCAGAGATAAAAACAGTTTATGGACTGGCAAATATCGGCCAATTCACGGTCGAGGTAAATGGCCTACATTAGGTGCTGGGTGTGCGTGGAATGGTGAGGCGGGAGGCTGCAAACACACTCAGCCACGGAGGGGCTAGAGGTCGGTCACGGGAGGAGGGTCTTGTTGCTTTTATGATCACAACAGTGGGTATAAGGAGAATTCAGGCTTTTGATATATTTATACCAAATTTCGTCCTTTTTAGGACGAAATTTTTTGTCATTTGAAGCCCCACTCTGGCTTTTGCCAGGGGCCGCAATATAGGCAGGCCATTTATGTGGCCAAATGTCTGAACGCGGTTTCTGGGACCTCTCCATGGCGATCCTCATCCACATGGTGGCACTTTGTGTCATCGGGTGTTTATCGCTTGTGTGATGTCCTGGTGGGGTAGAAAGTCAGTTCAGTTCGTTTTGCTGTCGACGTTTTAGTTTACAGACCTGGGAGAAATTAAAAAATCTAGAGAACGGCGAGCTGCGGTAGGGATGTAGTGTGAGGAACTAGGTTCTATCATGAACCAAAATAGAGGAACTAGGTTCTATCATGAACCAAAATAAGTCAGCTGTATTGTAAAGGTGTTCACTGAATAATAGAATTGTTAGAGATTTGTTGCTGGACATCACAATAAACGGCAGTCACATCAGGAGAGATCATTCACTAAAATATTTCTAGGAATGACTTCTCACTGGAGTCTGTCGTTTAAATACCGTGTGGAGGAGGTGGTTTTAAAGACAGGGAAAGGACTCAATGCTTGGCATCAGCGGACAGGGGAAGGACTCAATGCTTGGCATCAGCGGACAGGGGAAGGAATCAATGCTTGGCATCAGCGGACAGGGGAAGGACTCAATGCTTGGCATCAGCGGACAGGGGAAGGACTCAATGCTTGGCATCAGCGGACAGGGGAAGGACTCAATGCTTGGCATCAGCGGACAGGGGAAGGAATCAATACTTGGCATCAGCGGACAGGGAAAGGACTCAATACTTGGCATCAGCGGACAGGGAAAGGACTCAATACTTGGCATCAGCGGACAGGAAAGGGACACAATACTTGGCATCAGCGGACAGGAAAAGGACTCAATACTTGGCATCAGCGGACAGGGAAAGGACTCAATACTTGGCATCAGCGGACAGGAAAAGTGGTCTTGGAACAGAAAAATTTCCACACTCTCTGCCTGCGATAGATTATTTCGGTGACGCAATAGGGTGTGACGTCAGAAGAGTGGCTAGGGTTTTATAACAAAGCTGATTGGAATCTGTTCGAACACAGAAAGCTTTGCTTTAGAGCAACACGGTCCAACATAACAACGAACACACAGAGCCTTGCTTCAGAACAGCACAGTCCAACATAACAATGAACACACAGAGCCTTGCTTCAGAACAGCACAGTCCAACACAACAATGAACACACAGAGCCTTGCTTCAGAACAGCACAGTCCAACATAACAACGAACACACAGAGCCTTGCTTCAGAACAGCACAGTCCAACATAACAACGAACACACAGAGCCTTGCTTCAGAACAGCACAGTCCAACACAACAATGAACACACAGAGCCTTGCTTCAGAACAGCACAGTCCAACACAACAATGAACACACAGAGCCTTGCTTTAGAACAGCACAGTCCAACATAACAATGAACACACAGAGCCTTGCTTTAGAACAGCACAGTCCAACATAACAATAAACACAGTAAGCCTTGCTTTAGAACAGCACAGTCCAACATAACAATAAACACAGTAAGCCTTGCTTTAGAACAGCACAGTCCAACATAACAATAAACACAGTAAGCCTTGCTTTAGAACAGCACAGTCTAACATAACAACGAACACAGAGAGCCTTGCTTCAGAACAGCACAGTCCAACATAACAACGAACGCAGAAAGCCTTGCTTTAGAGCAGCACAGTCCAACATAACAATAAACACAGAGCCTTGCTTTAGAACAGCACAGTCTAACATAACAATGAACACAGTGAGCCTTGCTTTGGAAAACTGCAACTGGTGAAGTGGCTTGCATCAGCTGATACGACTAGGAACTTCTCACGAACCTACCAGCACGGCCAGAGTTCCTTCCCTTCCCATTCATACCGCGGCATGTCGCACGGGTTGTTCTATACTGTGGGGGTGTTGTGAGTTTTCTTCGCTTCGCGTTCGCTCTTCGCATATAATGTTTGTGGGAGGTTATTTTTGTCGCGAGTCTCTTTGAGGAGCGGCAGGCGCCAAAGTAAAAGAAAGAAGTACGATAGGAGGAAATTGCGAAGGCCTGACTGTTCATGGTGGTGCCTTCCACCCCCCCCCCTACCTCCTCCCCTGAAAAGAAGCCACTGACAAGGAACGTAGATTTACAAAAATATTACACAATGGAGATAATCACACAACACGAGAACAGATGGAGATAATTACACAACACGAGAACAGATGGAGATAATTACACAACACGAGAACAAATGGAGATAATTACACAACACGAGAACAGATGGAGATAATTACACAACACGAGAACAGATGGAGATAATTACACAACACGAGAACAGATGGAGATAATTACACAACACGAGAACAGATGGAGATAATTACACAACACGAGAACAGATGGAGATAATTACACAACACGAGAACAGATGGAGATAATTACACAACACGAGAACAGATGGAGATAATTACACAACACGAGAACAGGTAGAGATAATTACACAACACGAGAACAGGTAGAGATAATTACACAACACGAGAACAGGTAGAGATAATTACACAACACGAGAACAGGTAGAGATAATCACACAACACGAGAACAGATGGAGATAATTACACAACACGAGAACAGGTGGAGATAATTACACAACACGAGAACAGGTGGAGATAATTACACAACACGAGAACAGGTGGAGATAATCACACAACACGAGAACAGATGGAGATAATTACACAACACGAGAACAGGTGGAGATAATTACACAACACGAGAACAGGTGGAGATAATTACACAACACGAGAACAGGTGGAGATAATCACACAACACGAGAACAAATGGAGATAATTACACAACACGAGAACAGATGGAGATAATCACACAACACGAGAACAGATGGAGATAATTACACAACACGAGACCAGATGGATATAATTACACAACACGAGAACAGGTAGAGATAATTACATAACACGAGAACAGATGGAGATAATTACACAATACGAGAACAGACGGAGATAATTACACAACACAAGAACAGGTAGAGATAATTACACAACACGAGAACAGGTAGAGATAATTACACAATACGAGAACAGGTAGAGATAATCACACAACACGAGAACAGGTAGAGATAATTACACAACACGAGAACAGGTGGAGATAATTACACAACACGAGAACAGATGGAGATAATTACACAACACGAGAATAGATGGAGATAATTACACAACACGAGAACAGGTGGAGATAATTACACAACACGAGAACAGATGGAGATAATTACACAACACGAGAACAGGTAGAGATAATTACACAACACGAGAACAGGTAGAGATAATTACACAACACGAGAACAGGTAGAGATAATTACACAACACGAGAACAGGTAGAGAAAATCACACAACACGAGAACAGATGGAGATAATTACACAACACGAGAACAGGTGGAGATAATTACACAACACGAGAACAGATGGAGATAATTACACAACACGAGAACAGGTGGAGATAATCACACAACACGAGAACAGATGGAGATAATTACACAACACGAGAACAGATGGAGATAATCACACAACACGAGAACAGATGGAGATAATTACACAACAGGAGAACAGATGGATATAATTACACAACACGAGAACAGGTAGAGATAATTACATAACACGAGAACAGATGGAGATAATTACACAACACGAGAACAGATGGAGATAATTACACAACACGAGAACAGGTGGAGATAATTACACAACACGAGAACAGATGGAGATAATTACACAACACGAGAACAGGTAGAGATAATTACACAACACGAGAACAGGTAGAGATAATTACACAACACGAGAACAGGTAGAGATAATTACACAACACGAGAACAGGTAGAGATAATCACACAACACGAGAAAAGATGGAGATAATTACACAACACGAGAACAGGTGGAGATAATTACACAACACGAGAACAGGTGGAGATAATTACACAACACGAGAACAGGTGGAGATAATCACACAACACGAGAACAGATGGAGATAATTACACAACACGAGAACAGATGGAGATAATCACACAACACGAGAACAGATGGAGATAATTACACAACACGAGACCAGATGGATATAATTACACAACACGAGAACAGGTAGAGATAATTACATAACACGAGAACAGATGGAGATAATTACACAATACGAGAACAGACGGAGATAATTACACAACACAAGAACAGGTAGAGATAATTACACAACACGAGAACAGATGGAGATAATTACACAATACGAGAACAGGTAGAGATAATTACACAACACGAGAACAGATGGAGATAATTACACAATACGAGAACAGGTAGAGATAATTACACAACACGAGAACAGGTAGAGATAATTACACAACACGAGAACAGGAAGAGATAATCACACAACACGAGAACAGATGGAGATAATTACACAACACGAGAACAGATGGAGATAATTACACAACACGAGAACAGATGAAGATAATTACACAACACGAGAACAGATGGAGATAATTACACAACACGAGAACAGATGGAGATAATTACACAACACGAGAACAGATGGAGATAATTACACAATACGAGAACAAGTAGAGATAATTACACAACACGAGAACAGGTAGAGATAATCACACAACACGAGAACAGGTAGAGATAATTACACAACACGAGAACAGGTAGAGATAATTACACAATACGAGAACAGGTAGAGATAATTACACAACACGAGAACAGGTGGAGATAATCACACAACACGAGAACAGATGGAGATAATTACACAACACGAGAACAGATGGAGATAATTACACAACACGAGAACAGATGGAGATAATTACACAATACGAGAACAAGTAGAGATAATTACACAACACGAGAACAGGTAGAGATAATCACACAACACGAGAACAGGTAGAGATAATTACACAACACGAGAACAGGTAGAGATAATTACACAATACGAGAACAGGTAGAGATAATTACACAACACGAGAACAGGTGGAGATAATCACACAACACGAGAACAGATGGAGATAATTACACAACACGAGAACAGATGGAGATAATTACACAACACGAGAACAGATGGAGATAATCACACAACACGAGAACAGATGGAGATAATTACACAACACGAGAACAGATGGAGATAATTACACAACACGAGAACAGATGGAGATAATTACACAACACGAGAACATATGGAGATAATTTCACAACACGAGAACAGATGGAGATAATTACACAACACGAGAACAGATGGAGATAATTACACAACACGAGAACAGGTAGAACGGTTTAACTGTTGAAAATAAAAAATACACGACACCCCCCTTCCCCTCCCAATCCAACGATATTGGACAGCCCTTGCGGCTAGCCTTGGCCTGAATGGGAGGGGAGGGAACTCTCGTCATGCGGGCAGGTTCGAAGTAAGTGCTGTAGATGATAGAATAGCTGCTGCATCTCTGGGTGGTGAGCTACTTTATGATCAGATAAAGAGTGCAACAGAACACACACAGAATCCGTACATTGACAGACTAACATAACTGGGGTGGGGGTGGGATGAGGTCAGGAGATACTCAACACTGACGGGGAAACATAGGCGGCCTTTTAATCAGGTTCTAACAGGTACTGTTGGCATGCCGACTCTTCGTTTGTCACTGATGACCGTCATATTGCATGTGAGTTGTCTAACAGATGTCACAGACTGTGTCACGTCACACTCCAAGCCACCCGTTTGTCTTGGACTTTTCTAGAATCTGTCATCTCTATGTAAATTAGGTCAGATTCAAAAGTAAACCCCGCCTGTGTAGGTAAATAGTACCTCTGATAAATTTACACCTCTTTATGACGTAATAAATATTTCTGAATGTTCTGAGTCTCTTGGTAGAACTTTTCAAAACTTACAGTCTGGGGTTAGAGATTCTTGGTGATATTGCTCCCATTCCGTTGGTGTAGAGCACCCGCCTAGAGGCGTAAGAGATCTGGCTTCTAGAGAGAGCAGACGTGTTTTGCCTTTGTGCTTAATTCTGTCAAAATCTAAGGAACCGTGAAGTTTCCTGGAGGAATTCAGAGCTTGGGATTATAAGTTCACTGGAGGCCAGGTTCATAATCACCACATATCTACATCACCAGTAGTCCTTACCAGCATCTGCCAGAAGATACAACCACGGAGTCTGCCGACATGCCTGTTCCTACAGACAGGAAGTGACCAACAGTACCAGTGGGAGAGTTCCACCCCAGGGAGCTTTATGGTGAAGCCAGAGGTTGCCTGCCCTTTTTGGTCAAAAGTATTTGTGATCCTAATGTCAAAGTGTTCCTGAGACAATTCTGTGCTAGAATATAAACATGAAGTAGCAGGTCATGTGTAGAGGAACGGAACAGTACCTTGGTGCCAACCATCCCAGATGCAGAAGTGATGTGCTACAGAGGACCGGACTTGGATACAGATGAGTATATTCCGGAGGTTGTGGTCACTCTTAACCCGAAGTGCCTAGTCCGCTGTGCCATGACTCCACAACTTTGCAAGGATGACCTTGGCTGCTGCTGTGAGCAACCCTTGTTCTAGTCATATATAAATTGTCTCTGTCTCCTCAGTCTCATTAATTTCATTAAATTCTTTTGCCTTATCCTTTAACTGGTTGCACTTATTACAATATGTTTTATTATATCTACCTTCTTGGTTTAGTGTCCATCCCTCACTGTTCCTAGTGGCCTGGAGCGTGTGCAGTACTGATATACTACCCGTTTAACTGGGTTATCTTGAATAGAATAGGATATTATCTAGTCTGGGGGCTAATTTAAAGTAGTAAGGAAGTCAGGCCAAGTTGCGCCTAGGAATATTTTATATTCTGTAGTGCCATCACTTGTGTCGCCTCATTTCTGAAATAGGTTGGATGTGTATAGGAGCTGTGGGATTCCGCCTAGACCATTGCGAGCCGACATCTCAACATTTATAACTATTTGAGAGTGCTGTTGGTTCATCCGGAGAAATCCAATCCTAAACACGTGACACGAGCAGTACGTGACAGACTGGCCTTCTGTTGTTGGGACTGTGTCTTGTCCACTAGTAAATGCAAGCTTTCAAACATACACACATACGCACACACGCGTTCATTCGCGTTTACACACTTACATTCATAAATATATCCATAATCACTCATAAACACACACACTCTCATTCATGTAAATGCACACTCATACCTAAATACACATTTATTTATAAGTATACTCATACATACATACATACATACATACATACATACATACATCCATACATCCATCCATCCATCCATCCATCCATCCATCCATCCATCCATCCATCCATCCATCCATCCATCCATCCATCCATCCATCCATCCATCCATCCATCCATCCATCCATCCATCCATCCATCCATCCATCCATCCATCCATCCATCCATCCATCCATCCATCCATCCATCCATCCATCCATCCATCCATCCATCCATCCATCCATCCATCCATCCATCCATCCATCCATCCATCCATCCATCCATCCATCCATCCATCCATCCATCCATCCATCCATCCATACATACATACATACATACATACATACATACATACATACATACATACATACATACATACATACATACATACATACATACATACATACATACATACATACATACATACATACATACATACATACATACATACATACATACATACATACATACATACATACATACATACATACATACATACATACATACATACATACATACATACATACATACATACATACATACATACACGTACACGTAAGGGACTGTGTCTCAGCTCCTCCCCCCCCCCCCCCGCTCCCTCCCCTCCCCCATTATGTATGGTAGCCGTGGAGCTAGGCCGCCATCTTTGGGCACCTCGGACACGTGGAGAACGATTTGCGCTAACTGATCCAGTCTGGCTAGTGGCTCGTCATGTCGTAAAATGATTCATTAACTGTGCCAGACCTGTCCTCAAACAGCGCCATCAATCGGCAGGTCGAAGCGTCCACTTGGAGATAGAGGCGTTTGAGAACTAACAGGTTTCATTAACTTTGTGTGCATCAGTGCTTTCTGCTGTCCCTGGTCGTTGTGCTGGGAAATAACGGGGACATCAGTGCGTGATCGAGCTCGATTGATGCTCAGATGCGAGGAGTTATCAGGCTCCTCAATCGTGGACATAGATCACACAAAGTGGCCACAGAAACTAGCACACACGGGCCACACACACACTCACACACACACACACACACGGGCCATACACACACACGCACACCCACGCACACCCACACACACACACACACACACACACACACACACACACACACACACACACTAGCTGACAAACAGGCAAGGTTCCAGTCCGCTCACGGCATCACTTCCTGTTATTTGTCGGGATGTCTGCAGCAGGGCCAGGCTGCCAGTCGCCGGATCGACATTTCATAAGATGGATGTGTTTCTTCCTGCTCCCTGCACTTTGTCCACCGACTGTGTTTGGCCGCCGGTTCATTAAATCTGGCTTCATTTCTCATTTAACGATTTAGAAAACATAATTTCAGCAAATAGGCAACTAAATGAATCTGTTCTTGTTATCCCCGTAGCCCTGGTATGCAGCGCATGCGCACGGCCGGATTAACCATGAAGCAGACTCGGTACTTGCTTAACGCATCACCAATGGGAAGGGGCATTACAGACATGTTCATGAGCCTTGAATCTCATCGTTGATTTGATTGGTTGAAGCATACTTAAAAATCCTGTCAGAACAGCAGTCGTCCTAAAAAGAACGAATCTTTTACCCTTATCCAGATTCGTTCTTTTTAGGACGAAATTTTTTGTTATTTGAAGCCCCACTCTGGCTTTTGCCAGGGGCCGCAATATAGGCAGGCCATAAATATGGCCAAATGTCTGAACGCGGTTTCTGGGACCTCTCCACGGCGATCCTCATCCATATGGTGGCACTTTGTGTCATCGGGTGTTTATCGCTTGTGTGATGTCCTGGTGGGGTAGAAAGTCAGTCAGTCAGTCAGCAGTGCAACAAGGCAGGCTGATGCCTTCTCTCCATCAAGTGTAGAAGCAGATGTGTTACATAACACTGGCTTGAGGCTCGATCAGAGACTTTGCGAATGTACAAACTTAGTAGAAAACTGTTCAAATTTAAATTAGAAGTACACAAATAGACATCTATTTCCCACATATGAAAGCGCCACTGTCGTCTTACGCCCATGTGTCACCTCACGGCAAGCAAAGAATAGTAGCATTGCATCCTACCAGGCATGTCGTAAAAGGCGTCTAAGGGTTGGGTTTAGGACTGGCTACCTCATCCTGTAAAAACATTAGCTACAAAAACCAACCATGGACGATTCGACAAGAGAAACACGAGAAAAGCCACCCAGCCAAGTTAAAGAAAGGCTTTTCCAACAGAAGAAAGATGAGACGGTGTGCAGAAAGATTAGACGGTGTGCAGAAAGATTAGACAGTGTGCGGAAAGATGAGACGGTGTGCAGAAAGATTAGACAGTGTGCAGAAAGATGACGCGGTGTGCAGAAAGATGACACGGTGTGCAGAAAGATGACACGGTTCGCAGAAAGATGAGACGGTGTTTAGAAAGATGAGATGGTGTTTAGAAAGATGACACGGTGTGCAGAAAGATATGACAGTGTGCAGAAAAATGAGACGGTGTGCAGAAAGATGAGACGGTGTGCAGAAAGATGACACGGTGTGCAGAAAGATGAGACGGTGTTCAGAAAGATGAGACGGTGTGCAGAAAGATGACACGGTGTGCAGAAAGATGACACAGTGTGCAGAAAGGTGACACGATGTGCAGAAAGATGACACGGTGTGCAGAAAGATGACACGGTGTGCAGAAAGAAGACACGGTGTGCAGAAAGATGAGACGGTGTGCAGAAAGATGAGACGGTGAGCAGACAGATGAGACGGTGTGCAGAAAGATGACACGGTGTGCAGAAAGATAAGATGGTGTGCAGAAAGATGAGACGGTATGCAGAAAGATGACACGGTGTGCAGAAAGATGAGATGGTGTGCAGAAAGATGAGACAGTGTGCAGAAAGAAGACACGGTGTGTAGAAAGATGAGACGGTGTGCAGAAAGATGACACGGTGTGCAGAAAGATGACACGGTGTGCAGAAAGATGAGATGGTGTGCAGAAAGATGACACGGTGTGCAGAAAGAAGACACGGTGTGCAGAAAGAAGACACAGTGTGTAGAAAGATGAGACGGTGTGCAGAAAGATGAGATGGTGTGTAGAAAGATGAGACAGTGTGCAGAAAGAAGACACGGTGTGTAGAAAGATGAGACGGTGTGCAGAAAGATGAGATGGTGTGCAGAAAGATGACACGGTGTGCAGAAAGATGAGATGGTGTGTAGAAAGATGAGACAGTGTGCAGAAAGAAGACACGGTGTGTAGAAAGATGAGACGGTGTGCAGAAAGATGAGATGGTGTGCAGAAAGATGACACGGTGTGCAGAAAGATGAGATGGTGTGCAGAAAGATGAGACGGTGTGCAGAAAGAAGACACGGTGTGCAGAAAGCCGAAAGGAGTCAGTATGGTCGACATACCTCCTTCCACCTAGGATAATCTCCACAATTGGCACCTGGAACCCACAGGGGCACAGAGTTTAGGGAAGACCAAAACACACGAAGAAGGGAGCTGGGGAGTGAAATGAAACAAATGGGGAGTGAAATGAAACAGCTGGGGAGTGAAATGAAATAGCTAGGGAGTGAAATGAAATAGCTGGGGAGTGAAATGAAATAGCTGGGGGAGTGGAATGAAATAGCTGGGGAGTGAAATGAAATAGCTGGGGAGTGAAATGAAATAGCTGGGGAGTGAAATGAAACAGATGGGGAGTGAAATGAAATAGCTGGGGAGTGAAATGAAACACCTGGGGAGTGAAATGAAATAGCTGGGGAGTGAAATGAAATAGCTGGGGAGTGAAATGAAACAGATGGGGAGTGAAATGAAACAGATGGGGAGTGAAATGAAACAGATAGGGAGCATATGGGGAAAGCTTCATGCGATATCGAAGGATAGAATCACTTGGCGTGAGTTTGGTATCCTCCATTCCTGCAGGTGAGAGAGGGAGGGAAACAGAGAGAGCCGTTACAAAATTGTGATGGCTAACATAGGATCAGACAACACAGGTTATGAAGAAATTATGATAGGACATGGTCTAGGAGTAATGAATGAAAATGGTGAATTGTTCACAAATTTTTCCGCAGGAAACCAGTACGTTATTGGTGGAAGTATTTTTCCCCATAAAAGAATACACAAGGCAACATGGGAATCACCAGACCATAAGACAACTAATCAAATTGAACCACCTATGTATTAACAAAAAGTTTAGATCATCCCTTTACGATGTTAGGGCTTTCAGAGGTGGCGATGTATTTACTGACCATTTCCTGGTTGTAAGTAAAATCAAGTTGACACTTAAAAGATATATAACATCTTACAATCATAGAAACCAGTATAATGTAGGTTATCTCACGGAAAAAGAAGTTAAGAAACAATTTTCAGTTATAGTCTCTAATAAGTACCAGGTGTTGCAGCAGTTAGCTGAAGATGTCAGCACAGAAGTCTGCTGGGATCAGATCAAAGGAATCTGGAATGAATCTTGTGTAGAAGTTCTTGGCAAGAAAGAAAGGAAACATAACGCGTGCTACCACCAGACACCATTAAACTGATTGAAGAAAGGAAAAGTAGAAAGGTAGACTTAATCAATAGCAAAACTAGAGCTGCTAAAGCTAGAGCTCAGGATAAATACACAGAAGCTAAAAAGGAAGTTAGGAGGCGTATAAGGGCAGATAAAGTGAAATATCTAAATGATCTAGCACAAGAAGTGGAGACAGGCAGCAAAAAGAAACCTCAGAGAACTTTACAGTAACACAAGAAAATTAGTAGGTAAATATAGTCAGCCAACTGGATCAATCAAAACCAGTCAAGGAAAGGTACTTTCTAACACTAAAGATCAAATGGACAGATGGGTTGAATATTTTGAAATGCTTCTAAATAGACCAGGTCCAGTGGTCCCCCCCCCCCTCCCTCCCAGATATCCAGCCTTTAGAAATGGCACTGGCTAGAAACTAGAAAAGCTATCAATCTTCTCAAGGAAGGAAAGGCGGCAGGCCCAGATGGTATCCCAGCTGAAGCTATCAGGACCAACATAAACACATCAACAGAATAGCTACATAGATTATTCAGTAAAGTCTGGGAGACCGAAGAAATACCAGCAGACTGGAGAGAAGGATATCTTGTGAAACTCCACCCCAAAAGGGTGATCTACGGGAGTATGAAAACTGTAGAGGAATTGTGTTGCTGTCAGTTCCTGGAAAAATATTAAGTAGAATTATTTTGGAAAGATTAAAAGATGCTATTGATAAAAAGCAAAGAGATAAACAGGCAGGTTTTCGGTCAAACAGATCCTGTACTGACGAGATAACCACATTACGTATTATAATAGAGCAAAGCATTGAACTGAACCCACCACTTTACATTGGATTTAAAGACTATGAAAAGCATTCAACAGCATTGAAAGGGAATCTCTCTGGAAATTGATGGGGCACTATGGAATCCCACAGAAAAATTATCAACTTAGTAAAGGCAACATATAAAGACATGAAATGTCGAGTTCTTCATGAGGGAAAGCTAACAGATGCATTTAAAATAAAAACAGGTGTGTGACAGGGATGTCTTTTGTCGCCTCTCCTATTTTTAATGGCTATAGACTGGATTATGAAAACAGTAACTGCTAACACCAAGAATGAAATTCAGTGGACCCCTACAAAACAGCTTGATGATCTGGACTTCGCTGATGATATTGCTCTTCTGTCCCATTCACGGAATCAGATGCAAGATAATTTAAATAAACTTGATGCGAGATCACAGCAGCTTGGTCTGAAAATCCATAAAGGAAAGACAAAGATAATGAGAATAAATCAGAAAATAATATTGTGCTCTCCCTTAATGGCACCCCACTCCAAGACGTGGAGTCGTACACCTATTTGGGTAGTAATGTAGATAAAGATGGAGGAACTGATAGAGATATTAAAATAAGAATACAAAAGGCAAGAGGGGCTTTCATAGCACTAGGGAATTTGTGGAGGTCAAAAGAAATTAAAAGAAATACTAGACTTAACATTTTTAATTTTAATGTCAAATCAGTACTATTGTATGAGGCGGAAACACGGAGAACAACCAAGGCAATTATTAATAAATTACAGACATTCATTAACTGGTGCCTGCGCAGAATAGAGGGAATTAAATGGTAAGATAGAATAACTAATGTAGAACTTTGGGAGAGAACTAAACAGGCTCCAGTGGACCAAGAGGTGAGGAGAAGACGCTGGCGCTGGATAGGACAAACTGAAAAAAAACAGGAGAACAGCATAACTAGAATGTCTTTGTATTGGAACCAACAGGGGCATAGGAATAAAGGAAGGCCAAAAAACACGCGGGGAAGAGAGCTGGAGAATGAAGTTAGAGGGATGGGGAGGACATGGGGATAGCTCCATGCAATGGCGAAGGATAGAATGACTTGGCGTGAGTTGGTTGAGGGCCTATGCTCCATTGGGCGATAGAAAGGCAGAAGACGACTAGGGTTGTGGTTGTAAGGGCCCCAGTACACTGATTTGCCTAGAGGCCAAAAATGTGGCTGAGACATCCACCGTCCACTGCACGATGCTTTCGGTAATATAGAAGGGATGCATCTCAAAAGAGACTCCTCCTGGATGGCTGAGGCAGCAAATCCAATCAAGCAGGCACATGAACCAGACGTGATCAGTCACAGAAAAGAAAAAAATAGACCAATACACCTGTAGACATCCATGGCTTGTCTAAGACTGTCATAACAGTGGGAAGGTACTGCAGGAGTCAGATACCTGCCACCGTAGACACCGAGATTAGGGCACTGATCGATCAGGATTCACACCCAGAAAACGTCGTCATTGACACAGATGGGTCCGTGAAGCGCGGGACAAGATCAGCATTCACGCCCAGAAAACGTCGTCATTGACACAGATGGGTCCGTGAAGCGCGGGACAAGATTAGCATTCACGCCCAGAAAACGTCGTCATTGACACAGATGGGTCCGTGAAGCGCGGGACAAGATCAGCATTCACGCCCAGAAAACGTCGTCATTGACACAGATGGGTCCGTGAAGCGCGGGACAAGATTAGCATTCACGCCCAGAAAACGTCGTCATTTACACAGATGGGTCCGTGAAGGGCGGGACAAGATCAGCATTCACGTCCGGAAAACGTCGTCATTGACACAGATGGGTCCGTGAAGGGCGGGACAAGATCAGCATTCACGCCCAGAAAACGTCGTCATTGACACAGATGGGTCAGTGAAGGGCGGGACAAGATCAGCAGGGGCCTACACAGCACACAGGATGGGGGAAACAGTAAAATAGGATAACGGCGCTGACCAGACAACTACGTCACACATGACCATGGAGATAACTGCTGCTTCCTGAGCAATTGTATGGGTAGCAGAACA